AGGCCTCCAAGACGGCCCAAGAGCCCTCCAAGACGCCCTCCAGGAAGGCCCGAATAGGTTAAAATCATTGATTTTCCATTAGGTTTTTGAAGGATTTTGGCATGTTCTTCTTTTCAGCTCTCCGACGGCCCCAGACGGCCCATGAGGTCCCCAACATCGCCCCAACAGCACCCAAGAGGCCTCCAAGATGGCCCCATGACGGCCCAAGAGGCCCCCAAGAAGGCCCCAAGAGGGCCTCAAGACGGCCAAAGAGGCCTCCAAGACGCCCAAGATGGCCTCCAAGACGGCCAAGATGGCCCAAGATGGCCTCCAAGATGCCTCCAAGACGGCCAAAATGGCCTCCAAGACGGGTAAGATGGCTCCAAGATGCACCCAAGACGGCCCAAGATGGCCTCAAGATGGTCTAAGACGGCCCAAAAGGCCCGCAAAAGGCCTCCAAGACGGCCCAAGAGCCCTCCAAGACGCCCTCCAGGAAGGCCCGAATAGGTTAAAATCATTGATTTTCCTTAGGTTGTTGAAGGAGTTTGGCATGTTCTTCTTTTCATGGCCCAAGATGGCCTCCAAGATGCTTCCAAGACGGCCAAGATGGCCTCCAAGACGGGTAAGATGGCTCCAAGATGCACCCAAGACGGCCCAAGATGGCCTCAAGATGGTCTAAGACGACCCAAAAGGCCCGCAAAAGGCCTCCAGGACGGCCCAAGAGCCCTCCAAGACGCCCTCCAGGAAGGCCCGAATATGTTAAAATCATTGATTTTCCTCAGGTTTTTGAAGGATTTTGGCATGTTCTTCTTTTCATGGCCCAAGATGGCCTCCAAGATGCTTCCAAGACGGCCAAGATGGCCTCCAAGACGGGTAAGATGGCTCCAAGATGCACCCAAGACGGCCCAAGATGGCCTCAAGATGGTCTAAGACGGCCCAAAAGGCCCGCAAAAGGCCTCCAAGACGGCCCAAGAGCCCTCCAAGACGCCCTCCAGGAAGGCCCGAATAGATGGCTCCAAGATGCACCCAAGACGGTCCAAGATGGCCTCAAGATGGTCTAAGACGGCCCAAAAGGCCGGCAAAAGGCCTCCAAGACGGCCCAAGAGCCCTCCACGACGCCCTCCAGGAAGGCCCGAATAGGTTTAAATCATTGATTTTCATTATGTTTTTCAAGGATTTTGGCATGTTCTTCTTTTCAGCTCTCCGACGGCCCCAGACGGCCCATGAGGTCCCCAACATCGCCCCAACAGCACCCAAGAGGCCTCCAAGATGGCCCCATGACGGCCCAAGAGGCCCCCAAGAAGGCCCCAAGAGGGCCTCAGACGGCCCAAGAGGCCTCCAAGAACGCCCCTAGACGGCACAAGAAAGCCCCAAAACGGCCCCAAAGACAGCCCCAAGACGGCCCGGCAGATCTCCCAAACGCCCACGCTGGCGTCCACTACGGCCACGATAAACCCAAGTGAGGCCACAGAGAGGCCCCCAACCCAGCCCAGACGGCGTCAGGCAGAACAGGAAGGGCGTCGAAGACGCCTACGGCGAATCACCGCCGCCCCCTGCCTTTTTGGAAGCGCCTATGTGGCCGAACGTTGAGGCCAGACCTGCCAAGCCATCGGACCATGTGTTCCCCGAATCGGTTTGGAAAGCCTTCGGGGAGCACGTGGGCATCTTGAAGGTCATCTTGGCCGTCTTGGAGGCCTCTTGGGCGATCTTTCAGCGATCTTTCGGGGCTCTTGGGCCGTCTCGGGCCGTCGGACAGCCGAAAAGAAGAAAATGACAAATTCCGACGAAAACCTTAGGAAAATCAATGTTTTTGGCCTCTTCTGGCCTTCCTGGATGCCCTCTTGGGGGCCTCTTGGGCCCTTTTGGGCCCTGGCACGTCTGACGTCGTCGGAAGCCGTCTCGGGGGCCTTTTCTGGGGCAACGGGGGACCCTCTTGGGGCGCTTCGGGGCCGTCTTGGAGGCCATCTTGGGCCATCTTGGCCGTCTTGGAGGCCATCTTGGGCGTCTTGGAGGCCTCTTGGGCCGTCTTGAGGCCCTCTTGGGGCCTTCTTGGGGGCCTCTTGGGCCGTCATGGGGCCATCTTGGAGGCCTCTTGGGTGCTGTTGGGGCGATGTTGGGGACCTCATGGGCCGTCTGGGGCCGTCGGAGAGCTGAAAAGAAGAACATGCCAGAATCCTTGAAAAACCTAAGGAACATCAATGATTTTAACCTATTCGGGCCTTCCTGGAGGGCGTCTTGGAGGGCTCTTGGGCCGTCTTGGAGGCCTTTTGCGGGCCTTTTGGGCCGTCTTAGACCATCTTGAGGCCATCTTGGGCCGTCTTGGGTGCATCTTGGAGCCATCTTACCCGTCTTGGAGGCCATCTTGGCCGTCTTGGAGGCATCTTGGAGGCCATCTTGGGCCATCTTGGCCGTCTTGGAGGCCATCTTGGGCGTCTTGGAGGCCTCTTGGGCCGTCTTGAGGCCCTCTTGGGGCCTTCTTGGGGGCCTCTTGGGCCGTCATGGGGCCATCTTGGAGGCCTCTTGGGTGCTGTTGGGGCGATGGCGGGGGCCTCTTGGGCCGTCTTGGGCCGTCGGAGAGCTGAAAAGAAGAACATGCCAGAATCCTTGAAAAACCTAATGAAAATCAATGATTTTAACCTATTCGGGCCTTCCTGGAGGGCGTCTTGGAGGGCTCTTGGGCCGTCTTGGAGGCCTTTTGCGGGCCTTTTGGGCCGTCTTAGACCATCTTGAGGCCATCTTGGGCCGTCTTGGGTGCATCTTGGAGCCATCTTACCCGTCTTGGAGGCCATCTTGGCCGTCTTGGAAGCATCTTGGAGGCCATCTTGGGCCATCTTGGCCGTCTTGGAGGCCATCTTGGGCCAAGTTGGGGCAACAAAGGCATTGACAGATGGATTTTCGGAAACTTGCGGGTGGCCGGCGGGACGGGCCGAAGCCCACTGGGGAGTTCTTTTAGAAAAAGAACCAAAACCAAAACCTGAAACATCCAGCACGCCGTGCACCCCTGTGGCAAGACCACAGGGGGCGGCGGACTAGTGGCCTTCGGCCCATCCCGCCACCGTGTCTGGGTTGTGGGTTTTGAGGCCTCTTGTATATGACTGTATATGTGTTGGGGTGTCGTGGGGAGCTCTTCGGGGGCCTCTTGGGGGCGGTTTCGGGGCCTCGTAGGGTTTTTTGTGGGCCTCTTGGAGGCCTCTTTGGCGCGTTTTGGGCGCCTCTTGGGGCCTGCTGGGGGCTTCTCGGAGAGTTTCTTGCGCCATCTTGAAGCCCTACCATGTTGTCTTGGGGCCCTCTTGGAGGCGTCTTGGGCTGTCTTGGGCCGGTCTTCGGAGCTTCTTGGGCAATTTTTTGGCGTCGGACAGCCGAAAGTGCGAGACCCCCAAACTCTTTCAAAAAAAAATCTACGATGTTGGCCTCTTGGGACTCTCTCGGGAGGCCTCTTGGATCGCTCTTGGGGCCCTCTTGGGCCGTCTTGAAACCATCTTCGGGCGCGTTGGAGCGCTGTTGGCCTCGGCGATTCGAATATGGCGTAACCTGCTAGGGTTTATGGCCACACGGACGCGAATCTTTCATAAGTTAGAAGGGTTGTTGCTTCGGGGGCACGGAAATTGAACAATTTGCCCGGATTTGCGGGTTCGGGGACGCGAGCATTGCGTACGTTACGAAGGGTTTTGGCTTCGGGGATGCGAATCGCACAGCAATTACGAGGAATTCCGGCTTCGGGGACGCGAGCATTGTGTAATTTATAAGGGCTTGTTGCCTCGGGGGCGCAAGCATTCTATAATCTGCAGGGGTGAATGGTTTCGGGGGCGTGAATTTTTGGTAATATGACGGATTGTTGCCTCAGGACGCAGCGCAAAATTGCATCACTTGCGATGGTTAAGTACGGGGACGCGAATGTTACATGATTTTCGGGGGATTGTGACTAGCGTCGGGGGCGCAATCGTAGCGCCCGATTTACGCGGGAGCGTGGCCCCAGAGGCGAGGATGCAGTATAGTTTGCAAGAGATCGTGGCCTCGGCGGCGCGAAGACGCTACGGTGTAGCTTACCAGGGGAGCGTGGCTCCGGGGACCCAACGTGGCGGACGTTACCAGGGGATCGTGGCCTCGGGGACGCGAAGACCGTCTCTGGCCCCGACTCCGGCCCCCGACTCCTCCTCCTCCTGCTCCTCCTCCCTCCTCCTCCTCCTCCTCCTCCTCCTCCTCCTCCTCCTCCTCCTCCTCCTCCTCCTCCTCCTCCTCCTCCTCCTCCTCCTCCTCCTCTCCCTCCTCCTCCTCCTCCTCCTCCTCTCCTCCTCCTCCCCCCCCCCCCGACTCCGGCCCCCGACTCCGGCCCCCGACTCCGGGCCCCGACTCCGTCGCGCGCTCTGGTGGATCTCCGACGGGCCCCCGCCGCACCGATTCTCCAGCTCCCACTTTTTACGCCTCGGGCGCCCGTTCCCGGAGCGTTCTCTCTTTTTGGGTGGAGGGCAAAGGGTGAGATCTGGAATGTGCAAGGCTTGAATGGATGAGGAGGGGGAGGAGGAGGAGGAGGAGGAGGAGGAGGAGGAGGAGGAGGAGGAGGAAGAGGAGGAGGAGGAGGAGGAGGAGGAGGAGGGAGAGGAGGAGGAGGAGGAGGAGGAGAGGAGGAGGAGGAGAGGAGGATCTGGAATGCTCGGGTCGGGCGAAAGGAGGGGTTTGGGAAAGGGGGGGGCGAAATCTGCTGCATGCAGCTGGTTTCGGCCCCACCGAGGGGCCCGTTCCTCGATACATCGCCGCCTCCGGCGCCGGGAGGCGCCGGGAAAATCAGCTGCGTGAGCTGATTCTCAACCCCCCCCTTTGCTATCCCCCCCTTTCGCCCTGCCCGAAATGCCGTTTCGACGGATGTTCGAGGCTGGAATCTGCAAAGGGTGAATCACAAGACGGATTGGTTTTCGAGGTGCCAGAGCCCATCTGGAGATTTCACCCTGAGCCCTCCAGCCTTGCAAAATGATAAGGTTCCCACCTCGTGCGCGGAGCCCGATGCCCCTCTCGCGCGGGCCGAGGTGCGACCATAATGCCTTGGCGCCCCGGCCGCGGCAGACGCCCGCAGGCGCTGTCTCCTCCTCCTCCTCCTCCTCCTCCTCCTCCTCCTCCTCCTCCTCCTCCTCCTCCTCCTCCTCCTCCTCCCCCTCCCCACAGGCCTCCAGGAGATCCGAGACATGATCGCTGCGACAAGGGGCCCCCAGGCCCAGGCCCGAGAGGGCCTTCCGGGACGGTGTGGCAGCTGTGACCAGAAACAGAAATCCCATCTCTTCGATTCTCCAGCTTCGACCCGACTCCAGCTCCCGAGCGGCCAGTCCATTCTCCAGCGGCGCCCCCGCGCCCACCCGCTGCACCAGCGTGCGTGCCTTGCCCCGTGGGGCCGACCGGCCCGCCGACCCCGGGCCAGGGCACCCCTGGAGCATCCCCGAAGCTGCCCCGGGCACCACCCGCAGGGCTCGTGTAGATTGCACCGATTCGATCCGATTTCGATGGCATCCGGTTCCGATTCGATTCGACTTGGGATTCCGATCTGGGTCTCGACTTCATGCTGGCGGCGTACCAGTCCGCCGTTTTCTGCCGCTTCGATGTTTCCCGACTCGGCTGCCGATTTCCGCCGATCCGATACATCTCGACCGCCGATCGAATTTCTCGATTCGATTCTAGGTTCTTCTGCACCCAGAGTTTCCAGATGGCTTCCAAAGGAGTCCAATCCAACCCCAGGACGGCCCAAGATGGCTTCAAGACGGCACCACACGCCCCCAAGTCGCCCCAAGACGACTCAAAGAGGACACCCAAGACGGCCACAAATGGTAGGCGCAAATCGCCCCAATCCCTGGGGGAGCGTACATGTTATTGCTCCAAGACGGCCCAACAGGCCCCCCACGAAGGCCCGGGGAACAAGAGTCCCCCAAGACAGCGCACGAGAGCACAGAAAGGGCCCCACGAGGGGGCCCAGACGCCACCAGAGGCCCCGACACGAGCCAAGAGACCCCCCAGAGGGCCCAAGCCGCCACAAAAAAGCTCCAATGAGATCCACTGCGGCCATGTTGGCTCAAGCTGCACGGGCTCAAGCTTTAGGGTGCTCAGACTCAGTCAGCCCCTCGGGAACTTACCTTTCAAGTAGGGGATCGACTAATTACATAATCGATGTACCCCAGCATCGATTTGCTGGTCCAACCCATGAGAAAAGCACGCAGGATGGTCCGCAGTTCTACGGAACCCTGTGGCCAGAGCTCCCGGCTTCGACGGGGAGATCAGTTTTGGGGCACTTCGATTTTGTAATCGATCCCCTGCTCGAGTCTTTGCGAGGCTGGAGCCTGTTTTTCTTTTGATCCAGCCAAGCTTACTTGCATGGCGTTCGCCCCCCCCCCCCCCCCCCCCTCTCCCCCCTCGCCCCTCTTCAGTCGAGCACGAGCGTGCAAGTGCCTTCAGACTTGCGTGATCTCCGCACGTCGAGTCGTTTTCGGCTTGCTTCAGACTCAGCCCCCCCCGATGGTCCGCTACCGAAAATTTCCGGTAGCGCTCCGCAGAGATCGGTCGCTACCGAAATACCGAAATGTAGCGCCCAATACCGGTATCAGAGCGTTCTGAAATCCGCTTTCTCAACGCCCTCAAACGAAGATCCGGTCGCTACCGAAATTCGGGGTGCGTCGAAGTCGCTACCGAAAATTTCCGGTACCAGACCATCTGGGCCCCCCCCGCCCATGCAAGTAAACTTGCCCGAGTCCAAAGAAAGACAGGCACCCGGCGAGCCAGCGGCGTCGCACTGCTCCGCGCCGCGGCCGGGCAGAGGCCGCCGCCGCAGTTGCTCGCCCGACGCGGGCGCGGCGCGCGCCCCGAGGTCGGAGGTGGCCTCGTCGTCGGGGGGCGGATGCGCACGGTGCTCCGCGGAGGGAAAGGGTACTCCAGATTTCGTAAAAAGGGGAGGGGGGCCTCATTTCGGGGGGGGGTCTCTTCCAGGCTATCTTGGGGGGCCTGGGGGGGTCTGGGGGCGATGTTCTGGAGGGTTCTCCCACGGGGGGGGCCTGAAGTGGCTCGTCTTGGAGGGTCCAGACCCCCTCCCTTTGATTACGAAATCTGGAGCACATGTCGGTGCCCGTGCCCTTCGCCTCGTGGTCCCCTCTCTGGGCCTCCCGGGCGGCCCTCGTCGCCAGCGCCGGAGTCGCCCCGAGGTCCGGGTCGGGGCGCACCCCGGGGAGGGGGTCCGGGGAGCACAGCGGCGTCGGTGTACCGCTGGGTCTCCCCAGAGGAGGCCGCGGCGGGCAGTGGGCGGAGGCCGCAGTGGGCGGATGCCGAGGACGAGGAGGAGGATCGAGTGGGGGATCGGCCGCGGAATCTTCATCTTAACCAGTCAATCAGTCAAAGAGGTCCGATCGGACGCCTCAAAGCGTCACGGAGTGGGGGCGGCGAAGATGTAAAGCAGGCCTGCCATGGCGGGCAACGCTGGCGGCGAAGGAGCAAAATTGCATGCAGTATTGACAGGCGTGCTTGAGGCGTCATCTTATTAGGGGGCGGCAAAGAGGGGGGTGGTGTCTAGGGGGGGGGGATGTCATGGCGTGGGCCATGATATTTCCCCAGATTTCATGGCGCCTCTTCTTGTTTCATTGCGTCCCTGGCCCCCCCCCCCTGGGCCGCGCACGTGCCGCCGGTCATGATTTGCACCCCCCCCCTCTTGGACACCCCCCTCTTGGCCGCGCCCGACTTACCCCAGAATTGATTTCCCGTCGAGTCTACGAACCATAGCTGCAATGTTCCGTAGGAGTTTCGGGCTGTTTTGCGTGTTTTTGTTTTCTCGTGGGTTCGACGAGGAAATCAAGTCCCGCGGCCCTCATTTTTGCGGGTCCAGGTCCGTCGGTTTCGGTCCTGGGCCGTTTTCCTTGAAGGGAGGTTTACTAAAGGGAGGTTTGTCCACCGCCGAGTTGATTGCAACTCCCGAGAGCATTCTCTTGGGGTGGAGGGCACAGGGTGAAATCTAGAGGCCTCTTCGAGGCTTGAACCTGCAAGCGGTGCATCGCAGGACGGGTTGATCTTCGAGGTGCGAGGGCCCATGTTCAGGAGGGGGAAAAACACACAGACATAATTCATCGTCGACTCCCAGGAAAATATGGGAGAATATGGGAAGTGGGGGGTAAGACGAAAACCCCAGGAAATATATGAAAATATGGGGAATCTGTTTATTTGTGTCTATTTATCTGTGTGTCCTGGGGCCCCTTCACATGTGGACGTCGCCCTGCGCCCTCCGCCCTGCGAGAGGATGCTCAAGAAAACTCCACGCTGCAGTCGACCCCCCGCTCGAGCGCAGGAGGCCGCGGCCACGGCCACGGCCACGGCCGCGGTCGGCGGCGGGAGCGCCCGCGGCGGGGCGGCGGCCGCGGCGCGGGGAGCCGCCGCGGGACAGGGCCGCGGCGGCGGACCAGACGGGGGCGCGCCCGTGGGCGCGGGCCCCGGCGGGGAGGCGCGGGGCCCGGGCGGAGCTCCGGGCCCGAGGGCGGAGCAGCGCCTCAGGACGCCGAGGTCCTCCTCCTCTTTGCTCCTCTTTGCTCCTCCTTGCTCCTCCTCGTCCTCCTCCCCCTCCTCCTCCCCCTCCTCCTCTCCTCCTCCTCCTCCTCCTCCTCCTCCTCCTCCTCTCCTCCTCCTCCTCCTCCTCCTCCTCCTCCTCTCTGGGAGGAACCTCCAGAGGTTCCGTCGTCTTGGGGCCCTCCTGGTCAGCCTCCAGATGCCATGGGTAGTTTTGGCCGATTGGAACATGACGGCCGCCGCTTTAAAGGCTAGGGGCTTTGTAGATCGAGTGCAGGGTCATGTGTTCACTGCATGCAACGCGTCAGTCACTTGTACTGCCAGCGCTAGGGGGTCAGAGATTGATTGTGCCCTGGTCAGCTCGAGTTTTGTACCCTACTTAGCCCGCCTCGAAGCAATTATTGACGTTCCCTGGAAGACCCACTGCGGTCTATTGCTCAGTTTTCGGGGAACGGGGGCCCAACTTCTCACCAGGTCGCTGCGAATGGCGGCCAAGCTCCCGCAGTCTCATCGTCCCTGCTCCCTCCCCACTCCTGGCTCCAAATCATCCAAGGCCAAGGAGGCCAGAACTGTTAGCATGGCTGAGGCGCGCCAGCGTGCGCATCAGGAAGCTTTAGACTTGTTTGGAGACGCGCTCGAAAAGCCTGGCGAGGTCGGCTCGCAGGATGACGGCGGTTTCCCAGAGGATCTAGATTGTGATTTACAGGGGGTTTTAGAGGAAGCTGAGGAGGAGGAGGAGGATCCCTGGGCTCACGAGGCCAATTTCAGCGCCTATGACGGGCTATCGGGTCCTTCGCGGTCGGCGGAGGCTCGCGAGTCTGGAGGCTTGTCTGGGCAGGTTTTGCCGAGCTCAGGGATTTCCCCACCGTCCGAGCTCCCCCCCAGTAGCTCCAGCAGCACAACTGGTTTTCACCCTGAGCTCTCTCGAGGCCCGCTAGACGAGCACAGTCGTACAATAGGCATCCACAAGGGGGAGGTCGATCAGTCTGTGTCCCTGGACCCTTCGGCTTCCGACTCGTGCACGCCTGATGATGCTACTGCTGCCCCTCTCCCCACTTTCTCCATTCCGTCCTCATCTTGGCTCGAGCATCGTACCAAGGTTGGCTTTGTCCTTGCCCCGTGCCAGTGGGGAGTCATCTCAGATTCGTTTGCCTACAAGATAGGCTACCGACATGTGGATTTGGTGAGCGGAATGTTCGCAGGCTGGATCACCACTTTAGAGCAGACCATAGCAGGACATCACGGTTTAGAGCTCAGCCCGAGAGCCCCACGGAGAGTTGAGGGGCCACGCTTCGCCGTTCATGAGGTGAAGGTTCCTGAAAAGATTCGTGCTGCTCCCCTTCAGGACTCATGCAGTGCGTGGTGGGCTCGAGCTCATACAGTCTTGGCTCGGTTGTTACATCATCGTGAGAAGCAGAATGGTGGACGGCAGTGTCAGGCCCTGAAGGAGGCCAGCGAACGCATGGCCACGCAGTACCCAGTTCATGTGCATGCGGTGTTGGCTGAAAGCAAATGGACATGGGATCAGTGGCTCCAGCATTTGCAGGATCTGGAACGAGTCTCTCTGCCAGTGCTGAGGGACATGGTCGAGGTCAGCAGTCGTGCAGAGCGCAGGGCGAGAGGTCGTGCCATTCATGCTTCCCTAGAGCAGTTCCGCGATTGGATCGTTACGGAGCCTGCAGTTAACATTTTACACAAGAGTTTGAAGAAGTTGCCACCTCCAGCCGAGGAGGTCTGCATCGCTGGAGGCATCCTCCATCACCCTCGCGACATCGTTGATCACAAGGTAACGAGGTGGCACAAGTTATGGCACGATGACACCTTGGATCCAGTCGAGCTCTTCCACACTTTCGATCGCATCAGAGACGAGGCGCAGTTTCATGAGCTCCCCCCTCTCACAGGGGCTCAAGTTCAGGCTGCAGCACATGCGATGAGACCGAGAGCTGGGCAAGGTGTTGACAAGCTGTCGCCGCTGGACGTGGAGAGGCTCCCGCCAGAGGGCCTGGCCGAGCTGGCGGACATCCTGTCGGCGGTGGAGCAGCGCGGCACATGGCCATGGCAGCTGATGTTGATCATCGGCAGACTTCTCCCCAAGAGGTCAGGCGGTGACCGCGCGATCGGCCTAGTGGGGATGATCCCCCGCATTTGGTCGCAGGCGCGCGAGGTCGAGGTCAAGCAGTGGGCCTTGGACTCGCAGCCACACTGGGATGCTGCAGTGGCGGGCAACTCGTCCTTGCGCGAGGGTTTCCTCCGCATTCTGGGCGAGGAGGTCGCCAGCGTGCTGCAAGTGCCTTTTGGGCACGGCCTGGTGGACATCAAGAGTTTTTACGACAGCATCAATTGGTTGAAGCTCGCGGCAGCTGCGTTATCCCTCGGCTTCCCGCCGATCATCCTGCTGCTCGAGCTCCAATTGTGCGTTGCACCGCGGACGTTGGCACGGAGGGAATGCTACTCAGAGGCGTCCCAGCCGACCCGCAGCGTAACCCAAGGATTACGCAGCGGCACGAGGTTCGCGCGCTGCATGACATATTACATATTGGATCGCCTCACCTCCAGTCACCTCATGGTCGACATGCGGCTGTGGATCGACGACCTGTCTCAGCACCTCCGAGGCTCCCGCTCTTTTGCGCGCGAGAGGCTTGTGAAGGTTCTCACGCGCGCGAGCGAGGGCTTGGCGGAGGCGGGGCTGGAGGTTGCGGCTAAAAGTGCGGTGTTATGTTCGGATCATCGCGACGCCCGACACGTTGCAGCTTGCCTCGAGAGACAGGGGGTCGTGGTGGTGCCAGTCCTTCAGGCGAGCTACTTAGGGCTAGACATGGGCGCTGGCCGCCACGCACGTGAGACACGGCGCAAGAGAGTCGTGAAGAGCGCCACGATGCATAAGAAGATCACCAGATACGCTCGGGCCTCGTCCCGATACCACCCAGCCATGCGACCGGAGTCTGCGGGCGCTCAGCCAGCAGGGCACTACGGGCATCAGATCCATGGGGTCTTTGGCTCGAACATGCTACAGATGAGGCGCAGACTAGCTCATGTCGCTTCGTCAGCTAAGAGAGGTCGGTGCTTAACCTCCGTTCTCGACCTCAGATTTGACAACCTAGACCCTGGAGTGTGCATGCCACGCGAGAGCCTCAAGCTTTGGCTCACGTCATGGTTTGCTAACTCTAGGCTTCGTTCAGGTGTTTTGCAAGCGTGGCCCAAAGTGGTTTCGCATTTGGCAGGCCTCGAAGTGGCCCAACGGACCAGGCACATAAGGGGCCCCATGTCTACGGTCATTGCGTACCCCCTGCAGTTTCAATGGGACCCTGTTTCGGCCACGGAATGGGGCACCCGTCCCCAGGGCGACCTCTCCAGGGAAGCTTTTATTTTCGAGGGTGATCTCGGTCCCGAGACTGATTTTCGGATTTACTTAACGAGTTTGAGGCCACCATCAAACAGGCCTCTCAGCACTTTTGCGGCTCGGGGCTCGAAGGTGGAGCGGGCAATCGCTCATGCCGTCAGTATATTCGTAACCTTGAGTCATGCCCAAAGGGGCGCCAATTATCTGAGATGATGCTTTGCGTAGCTGTTGGCGGCACATGGCCACGACAGAGGATAGCCGATGAGGTAGATAAGAATGCTTGCACTCTTTGCCCCAGATGCAAGAAGGCTCCCGAGACCGCATTTCATCGTAACTGGAGCTGCGACAAGAACGTCGACGCTCAGGCCTTCTCAGCATCGGGGAGTCTAGTCTTTGAGGCGTAGGTGCAGCATGAGTCGGAGGCATGCTTCTGGCTCAGAGGTATTCTACCCGCGTCGTGGGCGGCAGTAGCCCCGCCCACATGGAGCGAGGAATGGTTGTGTAGCGATGTTACCCTTCCCCTCGGGCCTGGGCCCCTAGGTCAGGGGTCCAGTTTCAACCCGCTTTGGGTTTTCGGGGACGCCAGTGGTGGCCCAGATTCCCGCAAACCTCATCTGAGAAGAGTTGGCATAGGCGTAGCTGTAATGTCCAGTTTTAGTCCCTGTACTGTTTCGGCCTCTTTGAGGGGCCCCCTCCCTGGATCGGCCCAGACTGTCCCTCGGGGGGAGCTCCTAGCTTTAATTGTCACGATAGAACTCACTCTAGGGACAGTTGTATATGTCACTGATAATGAGTCGGTCATGCGAGGCTGGCACGAGAAGGCCTACCTCCAGCATGCTGGCGAGAATGCCGATTTTTGGACCAGGCTCGGCAAGCTCAGAGCGTCGCGTGATTTCAGTCAGATTTTAGTCCTGCAGACCCCCTCTCATCTCACTGCCGCTGATCTCACCGTGCGTGAAACCCACCAATGGATTGCGCTAGGCAACACAGCAGCTGATGAATTGGCCTCGGTGGCAGCTGCCGAGGCGAGGGTGGATCAGGCATCTCGCACGCGAGTTCTGCAGGCCGGAAGGGAAGCTCGAGTTGTCAGGCGTAGGCTGTTGCGCGCCAGCCTTGAGGCAGTGCAGGCCGAGGACACGGAGAGGAAGGTTGATAAAAAAAGTCCGCCTGCCCCCCCCCTCTGCGTCTGCTGTTGCTTTCTTCGCCTCGGCCCGCGTCCTGTCCGTGAATGGAAAAAAAACTGCCAGCGGTGTTTTGGGTGCTCGTCTCAGGCAGAGCTCACCCGCTGGCGCAATAGCCCGTGTGTGGAATTAATCCCCCGGGATGCCAAGCATTTAAGATTGCCTAAGGGCCAGAGGATCCATGTAGGGGGTGGGTGGACCCACCCCACCCATCAGATGATATACCATAAAGATTTAAAGTTGTGGTTTTGCAGCGCGTGTGGTTTTTATGGTTGCCAGCGGATGCGCGGTTTAGTTTCTGAGTGTCTTGCGTCTCCAGATCTCCCACCCGAGAGGCGGTGTCACATCGCGCCGACCAGGAGGAGCTATCTCGAGAGAATCCACAAGGGCCTGTGGCCCAAGTAGTTAAGTTAGAGTGTGCGTCGTGATCCGTCCCTTGCTATGTTCGGGGGGATCCTCAGCCTAATTCAACCCGAGCAGACGGCTTGGGTGGTGGTTGGGTCATGTTACTTCGCTTCGCGATCGGTCCTGTCCTATCCTATCCTCTATGCTCCTCCGCCTCCTCCTCCTCCGCCTCCTCCTCCTCCTCCTCCTTCTCCTTCTCCTCTGAGGTACACGCCCAGGGCCGGGAGGGCGGAGGCGCCCGGAGGCCGGAGGAGGAAAGGGTTTACCGATCCCGCTACCCTTGGCCCGTCTTCCCCTCTGTGGGGATCCTGGGAGGCCTTCGTCGCCGACGCCGGGCTCGCCGCGAAAGCCGGGTCAGAACGCGCCCCTGGGAGGGGTCCATCGGGCGAAGGGAACTATGCACATGCACCGATCCTGGCAAGGCCCATTCTTGACCCAGGATCGGTGCATATACCTTCCTAGCCAAGGTAGGAGGGCGTATGCACCGATCCTGGGCTCAGGATGGGCCTGGCCAGAACCGGTGTATGTGCATAGTTTTTTTTCCTCTAGTCCAGGGAGCAGCGGTGCGGGTACTCCAGATATTCGTAAAAAGGGGAGGGGGGTCTCATTTCGGGGGGGGTCTCTTCCAGGCGATCTCGGAGGGCCTGGGGGGGTCTGGGTGGCGATGTTTTGGAGGGTTCTCCCACGGGGGGGGGGGGGTCTGAAATGGCTTGTCTTGGAGGGTCCAGACCCCCTCCCCTTTATTACGAAATCTGGGGTACGCCTCGGTCTCCCCAGGAGGGGCGCCCCTCGTGCCGGGCCCCCGCGGCAGCGCCGAGGCGCCCTGGGCCGGGGCGGGCAGCGGCGTCAGGCGCGGCCTCGGCCTCAGCACGCTGGTCCCGGCCGTCGTGCACGAGGAGCCCGAGGACGATGCGCTCAGTTGCTGCACCTCGGTCGACCACTACTCGTGGTGGCAGTCGTCGGATGTCCGGGCATAGCAACAAAAGACCACAACCGCAGCAAAGTGGATTTTTCTGGAGGGTCCCGCGGGGAAAACCCACCTGCCTCGCCGTGAGCACACTGGTTGTGGTCGTGGTCGATCGGGCCGTCTGGGACGCCCACGTCGCGACCGCAACCAGTGCTAAACTGGACTCGGTGTGTGGACGATGTGGTAGCATGCGCAAAGCATCCCCCAGGATGCGTTCTCGATGTGGTTGTGGTCGCTTGCTGCTCCCGCAGGACGCTCGTGCCGACCTCACGGGCAGGGGGGGCAAGACTCCACCGACCAGCAAGCAGAGAGGTCAGGCATCGGTTTCTCCCAGCGCACGAACGCCTCTGAGCAGTACTGCCAGAAGGTTTTCCCCTGCGTATGACAGTGCCGTGGTATCTGTGCCCAGCTGCCCAGAGATGGCGGGTTCGCTCGGCCGCGCCTCCTTCGTGCCATGGTGTGGGCCGCATCCCGACGTCCAACACCTGGCGACGGGCAAGCAGCAGCTCACCACGGTGCTCGTCAGGAACGTGCCACACGGTGTCGCGCGCGAGGAGGTGCTCCTCGCGGTGAACACGAGAGGATTCGAGGGCGCTTACGATTTGCTTTATCTGCCAATGGATTTCAGGACCCACGAGAACAAGGGCTACTGTTTCTTGAACCTTGTGAGCGAGGAGGTCGCCCGCAGCTTCATGGGCGCCTTCAACGGCTTCACAGAGTGGCCTCTGCGGAGCAGGAAGTCATGTACAGTAGAGTGGTCTGTGACTCAGGGGTTCAATTCGATCATGGACCTCTACCGGAACAGTGGGATCATGGGAGATCACATCCCCGATCAGTTCAAACCTGTAGTCTTTGTCGGCAATACTCGTGTCTCCTTCCCAGAGCCCGCGTAGCATCATGCCCACTCGGCCCGTTCCTGCTACGAGCAGTCGATCTCTTCAGTGCTTGGATGGCTCCTGTTTCTCGTCTCACATTGTCCTCCTCTGCCCTCTATGGCCCCCTTTGTCCTCCTAGCTTCTGGTGTAAGACTTGCGCCCAGGTCTTCGGACCCAGGGGCAGCGCACGTTCTCTTCAATACTCACCCCTGGAACCCGCTTCCGCCCCAGTCGCCCGAGACTCGTTCTGGCAGTTCCTGGCAGCTGTGGCGGCCTCCAGAGCCGTCCGAGATGATCCCTGGGATTCCGCGGAGGCCGCCAAGGCGGTGCAGGATGGCCTGGTGCGCTCCCAGAAATTGCCAGGACGGCCCCTGGAGACCACAAGATGTCGCAAGAGGCGCTCTGAGAAAGCCGACGCCGGCAGCAGAAGGCGCCGAGGGCGAAGGCGACACTGGCGGCCCCAGGAGCTGGGTGGGCGCCGTCTCTAGAGAGCCGCATCGCGGGGCGCGCTGGCAAGTTGGGCCGCCAGCCCGGCCGCCAGGTTGGGTGGCAAATCATGAGAGCCCGGTGTACCTTTGGAGTTCCGTCGTTAGCTTCGGTTGGCGTCGATTAGCGTCTGGAGTCGATGAGATAGCGCCGACTTAGTGTCTGCTGGCGTCGATTAGCGTCGATTTAGCATCGGTTCGTGCCGAATTTGCGTCGATCCGTAAGAGCCGGCAAGATGGTGTGGGAGGTTCCCAGGAGTTGCCACCGAAGTCGGGGTCGCCCTCAGCAGCGCTCGGTGCCGCTCGGTCGCACCGCCCGTGCCACCCTGCCGCTGATTTCCGCAGCGGGCGTCTCAAAATGCTTCGCCTCGCTTTTCCCGAAAAATGGGTCAGCTGTTGACTCCGATGGGTCAAATCTGCCGTTTTCCTTTTGACAGGATGGTCGAAGTATTCCCCATATCCTAAGATGGGGTTATTGTTGTTACTTGGACGCCTCCTACTCCTTCTTTTTCTTCCTCTTCTCCTCCCCTCTCCTCCTCATGCCCAGACTCATACACAGACTGACTCACACTCGGACTTACTCAGACACAGACTTACTCACACACAAAATTATTCATACTCAAACCTACTCATACTCAGACCTACTCCTACTCAGACTTACTCATGGTGAGACTCACGCACACCCCGTTCGCGGCCGTTTTGTGGGGATGCCTCAAGCGGTTTGCTTGTTTTCTGTCCCAACATCTTGCGCTTTCGGAGCAGATTTGGAAGATGTCTCGAGCGAGGCGCTCATTTTCACCCCCCTAAGGGGAGCCGCCGAGGGGTTATCTCACGGTCCCGTTCGCGGCCGTTTTGTGGGGATGTCTCAAGCGGTTTGCTTGTTTTCTGTCTCCACATCCTTTCGTTTTCGGAGCAGATTTGGAGGATGTCTCGAGCGAGGCGCTCATTTTCATCCCCCTAAGGGGAGCCGCCAAGGGGTTATCTCACGGTCCCGTTCGCGGCCGTTTTGTGGGGATGTCTCAAGCGGTGTGCATGTTTTCTGTCCCAATCTTTCGCTTTCGGAGCAGATTTGGAGGATGTCTCGAGCGAGGCGCTCAGTTTCACCCCCCTAAGGAGAGCCGCCGAGGGGTTATCTCACGGTCCCGTTCGCGGCCGTTTTGTGGGGATGTCTCAAGCGGTTTGCTTGTTTTCTGTCCCAGCATTTTTCGTTGTCGGAGCAGATTTGGAGGATGTCTCGAGCGAGGCGCTCATTTTCACCCCCCAGGTGGGCCAGATTTTGAGGATGTCTCGATCGGTGGCCAGACTCGTGGGCACAGATTCTCTTCAGGATGCTACAAGAGGCTCCAACAGGCTCCAGGAGGCGCCAGGAAGCCACATGAGGTCCCATGAGGCATCAGGAGGCCACAGAAAGACTCAAGAGGCCACAGGATGTCCCAAGAGGCTCTAGGAGGCCCCAGGAAGCTCCGGGAGGCCTCAGGAAGCCACAGGAGGCCCCAGGAGGCCAGAGGAAGCGCCAGGAGGCTTCGGAAGGCAACAGGAGGCCCCAAGAGGCCCCAGGAGCAGGAGGCCTCAGAAGGCAACAGGAGTGGTTCCAATCCCATGTGTTTTACGTATGCTCTTATAGATTGGGCCTCACCTGGAGCACGAATCCTTGATATTATACGTATGTTTCTATAGATTGTCCTTGTCCTGTTTACTTATGTTCCTATAGGGCCTCGCCTGGGGCACGGGTCCTTGGTGTTTTACGTGTGCACCGCTAGACTGCGCGGTTTGGGCCCCTTGGCCCAGACCGCGGGGGGGGTTAGGCCTTTTGGCCCAACCCCCCCCGCGTCTGGAATTTACCATCTGTGAGAGTTTCAAAATTTGAACGTTTAAGCCCCTTGGCCAGACGCCGCCTACATCCTGTTTTTGCATCTCTCGACGCAGGACGTAGTCGCGAGTCCAGCCCGCTTCTGCCTGAAGCTCCTTGCTGCTGTTCTGTCGCCCGGTTGAGCCTCCTGACCTGGCTCTCCCAGTCGCTCCTCGGCCCGCTCCGGACTGGTCCTGGACATCCGCCAGAGGACGGGCCGGGGACTGCCAGGAGGGCCGCGGACGCCTCCCAGGCGGCCCCAAAAGCCCCCAAGACGGTGGTCGCCGAGGCCTTGAGGCCGGCCCAATCGACCTCCACGACGGCGCTCTCCAGGCACCCGAAGAGCCAGGATTCAGTGTTCTTCCTCACGCTCTTGAATGATGCCTGCGAGAGGCCTCCACGAGGCCTCCCAAGAGTGCCCAAAGATGGAGCATTCATTGGTTTCTTGATGGTTTTTAAAGGATGTTGGCCTTCTCGCCTTATCGGCTACTCGACGCTCCAAGGCGGCCCGAGAGGCCTGAAAGAACGGCCCAAAATTGCCCAACAGGCCCCCAAGAGGACTCCACGACATTCCGAGAGGACCCCACGACGGCCCAAGAGGCATCCAAGACGGCCCCAGAGGCCTCCAAGACTGCTCCAAGAGGGGTCCCAGACGGGGGGTCCGAACGGACGTTTCGAGCATTGTGCCCCAAAAGGCCCCAAGGAAACTCCGAGAGGCCCCTAAGAAAACCCCAAGAGGCCCCAAGAGGCTCCCAAGAGGCCCCCACGAGACCCCCCAAAGGTCCCCAAGAGAGACAACATTCATTGATGTTTAAGCAAGTCTTGAAGGATCTGGGCATTATCGCCTTCTCGGGGTTCCGACGCGCGAAGGCGGCCCGAGAGACATCCCAGATCGCCCCAACATTGTCTACGAGGCCCCTGCGAGAGCTCCAAGGCACCCACAGAGTTCCCCAGGAGAGCCCCCGAGCTCCCTCGCGGGAGGGCTCTCCGCTGCGGGCGCACGCGGAGCCGAGGCGTCCGGCCCCGTGCGGAGTGGGGATGGGAGGGCGACGGCGACGTCCTCCGGTATCGTTTCACCGGTCCCCACGTCCTCCGGTATCACGGAGGTCCCCACGTCCTACGGTAGCGTTTCCCCACCGTTTCACCGATCCCCATGTCCTCCGGTATCGTTTCACCGGTATCGTTTCAACGGTCCCCTTCGAGACCCCCACCAAACTGCCTCTCCATGTTGGGGACGCACCCCTCGAAGCCCGAAGGGAACGGCCTATATCCCCATCCAGGGGGGTAGCTCGGCCAGTGGGGCCCAGGCCACGCCGCTGGGGATGGGCATCGGCGAAACGATACTCAGGAGTCCTCCCCCACCCTCGCCTCCAGGCCCGTCCGCCTAGAGGAGGAGGAGGAGGAGGAGGAGGAGGAGGAGGAGGAGGAGGAGGAGGAGGAGGAGGAGGAGGAGGAGGAGAGGACGGAGGAGTTCCTCCTCGTCTCTCGAGGAGGGAACAAAAACGCCACAAACATGAGCCCTCGGCGCTCTGTGCGGACTTCTCGGATCCGCGCTGGGCCCCACCGGCGGCGCCTCTGGCGCCGCCCTTGGCGCGCTCCGCGCGCCAGGGAGGGAGGAGGAGGAGGAGGAGGAGGAGGAGGAGGAGGGGAGGAGGAGGAGGAGGAGGCGGAGGAGGAGGGGGAGGCGGAGGAGGAGGACGAGGAGGAGGAGGAGGAGGGGGAGGACTTTCCAGGACTTTCCCAATCTGACAGGGTCAGAACGGCAAGATGGCCTCGCCGAGAACGAGGACGCGAAGCGGGGAAGCCCGCCACCCCTGCCGCACGTGCTCGGTGGAGCCACCAGGGCCAGAACCCACCTAGCAGGCGCAGCAGGAGGGACGGGGCCCCGTTTGGCGCCCCCCCGAGGCCGCCCTATCCTAGAGGGCGGCCATCCATCACACGTGAAATCACCCAGGCCCCCATCTTGGTGGGGGGCTGACCGTTCTGACACTTACACTTCTCCGCAAGGCCTCTCAGATGTCCTCTCCCTCTTAGAGCTCTACACCCGCATGCCGTACAAACCCAGTATGGTTCAAAATACGCGAGGCAGTGGGACGGGTGACCAACTCTCGTTCCCATGGCCAATTGCTGGGCTTGGGCTTGTCTGGGCAGCTCAAGAGGGGGTCCAAGGCACTCGGAGGTCAACCAAACATTTAAATATTTGCTACTGGCTATCTTACTGAGCGACGTGTTGCAACAATTACAGGACCACCTAGATTTCATATCAGTTAAAATGTGTGAGGTCTTGGCTTGGGCTTGGGCGAGGGCGTTGGGCTTAGATCTATGCTGAGCCCTTCGTACCTGTCTCACCGTGGGGCCCGCAACTTCATTCTCAAAAGCAAAAAGAGTGGCTCTTAAAATGCGTCTTCTAATCAAACAACCTGTGGCGACGGCCCATTTATAACAACTCAGACGTGCTTCGGGGATGCTATGCTCATCTGCCGCTTTCCCTGCAAGATCGTATGCTACTTCGTTTCCCCTCCACGCAGCGGCGGGGACTCCCCTGGCCTCGGCCTCCGCGGCCGACTGGTGGCTGTGCATGAAATGTACCTGCACCTCGCCTGGGCCGCGCTCCTGGAGCGCACTGGCGAGCTGCTCCCACAGGTCTCCGTGCACACTCCACCCTCCTGGGCTGAGATGGCGAC